TAAATTAAGTATTTCCCCCACCGGAATCTCAGCCAATAGGAGGGCCGCATTTGACGTCACGTGGTACAACCTACACGGTTTTATATCGATAAAATTTGGTAAAACCACAGCACGTTGCTAAGGGAGAATAAACAAAATAATTGAAATGCGAAAGTGTAGGTTGTACCACATTGACATCAAATGCTGCCCTCCAGTAACCGAAATTCCGATGGAGGAAATACTCCTCCAAATACCCGTCAAGCGTCAAAATGCACCTTCCCTGCAAACAAACGATCGTGTCAAGTTTTGTAGGAAAATCCCTCGCGCTTGGCGCTCGGGATTTTTAAGCCTACAAAACTTGACACTCTCGTTTGTTTGCGACGAAGCTATCGGGAAATACCCGATCATTTTGAAGCTCTCGCGGTATTACTACTGAAAAAAATTAATGTGCTGCGCATTTTATCAATTGAAGTTCCATTGAGGTTGACTTTTTAACGATCTCAAGTATAGAGCTATAATATGACAATGTACACTTACTCGTGAAATGATAAGTCTTTGCACTTTCTTTTTCTTTTTCAGCAAAAGACACACGGCACCATTGTGCATAAAATAAAACAAGGCTAATTCATACATGCTCCAAAAATTACTTTGTGGTTATAGAACAACGGTAAAATTACCATCCCCACAATTTTACGAGAATGTTGACGCACGCGTATTGAGGTGTTGATTAGTACACTGTCCGGTAATAGGGGCGCTGGGTGAGCCTTCAATTCGACTCAACTCCGACGTACTGGGCCCATAAGGACAGACCATCCAGTTAGTATAGAGATCAGTAGTATTAGCACGCACGTGACCTAGTACCGCAGTGTATCGATGCGTCCCCATTGGCCCTTCCCCCACTACCTTCACACCGATACAGTTCGTGCGTTATGCTGTTGAATGGGTTAAATTAGGTGGAAGGTCAAAGGATATTGAAGAATAAATTACGACGTTGATTCAATTGTCATAAGCGCGATGTGTTGCTGATTATTCCTTGGAGCAGTGTTGCTGTCATAGCAATTTCTTGTTTTGTCATTGTCGGATCTAGTTGGATAGTATATTTACCGGTGATTTGAGGTTGTTTAAACAGGAAATATGGAAATAAGGATGTTCCAATTTGTTTGTATTATTTTTCTAGAGCCTGAAGAAGCTAAAATAATCAGCGAAGCGTCGCACTTATGACAATGTAATCAACGTTGTAATTTATTGTCCAATATTCTTTGACCTTTCAGCTAATTAATAACATCATGGAGATGAACTTGTTTATTGATTGCCATAAAAATGGCTGCTTCAATTCTATTGAATTTACATAGAAATTCAAGTGAAATCGACGAGATAATAGGAGTAAATTTACAGGAGGAAATTTTTGAAATCCTTGTAACCCTCAGAGTCTTTAGGTCTTTGACTTGTACAAGAAATTTGAAATGAAGAAGTCGTTAGGAGCCAGACAGGTTAATCGGAAAGAGCACCCGAGGCGCAATTAGAAAGTCCCAGGTTCGATTCCTGGTCTAGACTATCCATTTTTTCAGTAATTTTTCGTGTAAACTAATATGGAGAATCATCCTGTACTCCTCCTACCTACTCTAAAATCTGTTACTGAAATAATAGATAGTCCAGACCGGACATGGAATCCGGGTCCTTCGGATTACGCGTCGCTCGATTGAATTCCCGCAGAAATTCAAGATAGGAGTTTTCCTATTGGAAATTCGTATCGAAAATTCTATTAATCTTCTGCCAATTCTATTGAAGAATTCTACACTTCTTCTGCGTGTTTCCGAAACGAGGAATTTTCAATGAAGAACATTCTACAGAAAACATCAATAAATTTTAACTTTCCGTTTTTTTGAAAACAGTTAATTGAAATATTTTCTAGAGAAATTTTTTGCCGTGAATTTTTTCACTGATTGAGGCGTCTTTTCTTGCCAAATATATTGAGTAAAAACGGCTTAGAAAATTCAAGCTCAGTAATTTCTGTAGAAACAATCTTAACAAAACTAGGTGTATAAAAGAAATCAATGAGTTTTTCATACATAGTACATTACATGCCCGAGCCTTGGAAAACAGATCACCGTCCCCCACGCGCAAGATTGCCTTCCGAGCCGAAGGCGAGGATGGCAAGCACGTGGAGAAGGGTGATATGTTTTCCATGGCGAGGTGTGTATATTAATTTTCGGGTCGAGGGACGTGAAAAACCCCAATTTCGTAGCGCGCAGCGCCACGAAAATGGGTTTTTCCGGATCCCGTGACACGAAACAATATTTTCTATCGAACAGTTCTACTAGTAAAAACGCGCTGAAAAACATCGATTTCGTTCAATAGAATTCGCAGAGAATTAATAAAATTTTTCATAAAATGTCAACAGAACTTCAATGGAATTTTCTAGCGAATGCGCTAGATTTTTCTATGAAATTTTTATATCCTCAAAATTGCAGCACGTTTCGTAGAAAATTCTGTTCAATAATGATCTTGATTTCCGCCAATTTTAACTCAAACTCACGCACTTCTTCCAAATATACAATAATATCTGCCGTAGAAGCGTTCAATATCGGGATTCACAGGGGAACCACAATAAAACTTGATTTATTACGAATTCTTTCAATGGAATGGCCGCGTATAATTTTCCAATTTTCTCTCACTTTTTTTTTCTTTTCACGTGAAAGGAGAGAAAAATTATGGCGAAAAATTTGGAAAAATTGAACAATTATGGAAGAAAGGAATAGACACCATTCATGAAACTCATTCATGAAAACCCAGGGATTTCTATGAACAGTAATGACATTGAATGAAAGATCACAATTCGATCGACTTCAATTAGTTTTTCGCCACCTGTTTCAACACAGAATTTAATATTTTATAGAGAAAAAATACATGGAAAATTGTGAGATGCCCAACAGAATTTTCTAGTGAATACATCAGAATTTTCTATTGAATTTTTCCAACGTGACGGACTGAACTCTATTTTCATCTTTCCAATCTATCACGAATTTAAATCGACTCATTTACTGGTAAATAGAATAGGCGAGTAGTGTGCAATTTATTCAGGCTCATAAGGTTTTTAACAAATGTAATGAAATTCATCACTCGACAAGTGATAATTAGCTAATTTTGTGTACAAAGTTAATTGTATGCGGCCGAACAGATGAGGTGTATTATTCATTTGTTGAGGTAGTATGTGTCAACCGTGTTGGTGGGGGGAGTGGGAGTGCTCAATTGTAATCAATTATTTGGTATATTATGTGTCAACTAATACTGTTTTACTGTGCGAACTCTCGCTGTGAGGGAGTCAAATTTCGACAATCAATAATTAAAATATGAACCCCCTCTAACTAAAAGGAACTATCGCTTACTCATACGAAAGCTAGTAATCAATGTATGAAGTAAAAAATACTTTCATATATTTTAGAATGATCTGAGCTATCAAATGTTCGATTCAATATTCTAAATGTTTGGAATGAGCGGATCAATAATCCAAAGTGAATTGTCAAAAGAGTATTTTCTGTCATTGTATACGCGTTGTATAGAATCAAATATATAATTACTCCTCAAGATATTACAATTTTTGTATCCTGGTAACTGATTAAATGGGTGTAATAATTATATGTAATACCACAAGAGCTTCAAAATTATCGGGTGTTTCGAGATAGGTTTGTTGCAAAGAAACGAAGGATTTCTACTAGGGAGGAGTCAGATTTTTTATGAAAAACTTGACGACTTCGTTTGTGTACAAGAAACCGTGGGGAAATACCCCATTAATTTTGAAGCTCGAGTGCTATTCGAGGGAGAATTCCTTCATCCCAATTTCGGCCAAAAAAATTGTACTATGGCGACAAACCGATGTATCACTTTAAGCGAGAGGTTAACAGAGAAACTCACCAAAAAATTATTAATTATAATACCCCGAGGGTTTGACAATTATGATGTTTCTGAAAGAATCTTATCGTTGAGCCACATGTGCGTGAAGTTTGGCAGAATCAAAATCTCGATCGCTTACACGAATGATTGTGCGCCAAACTACACATACATGTTGCGTAGCAGGGCCTTCTTTTTCTCTTATTTTTTCTGTCTGGAGTCAGACGTAAACAGATAAAAATAAAGTTGAGTGGAGATGCAGTGAATTTAAGGCTCATTATAAGTACAAAGCCGTCGTTAACACGTCATCAATAAAAAGTGCGATGAAGACCATTATTCACAGAGAAAATTATTTGGTGAATTTCACCAAATAATTGCTAAATTTCACCAACTAGTTGGTGAATTTTAACAACCAGTTGGTGAAATTTAACAACTCTTTAATTAAAATTCAGAAAAAGATTTTTCAATTTCATTCGACAACCCTTTGTTGAATTTTCAATAAACGTTCGTCAATTTATTTGATGGATCAAATTTAACAAGGAATTGTAGATTATTGCGAAAATATCTTCTAGGGGAGATGTTGATCGATTGTCAAGATATAAATGATTGCGGGATTGTTTCCAAATGTATATATACTGTTACCATCTTTTGACACCAGTTTGGGAGCCAAAAGTGATTGAATGAAATTGAAAAATCTTCTGTGAATTTTAATTTATTAGTTGTTACATTTCACCAACTAGTTGGTGAAATTCACCAAATAATTTTTTCCGTGATGCGTTCAAATATCCAATGATTAATTTAATATGTATTGAATTTATTCTGTGTTGAATAGATTTTATGTTCAATTCATTTGTGTTCAGTTATCTACGTGATGAATTGTTATGTTTTCAATCGTCATGTTTAAATGTCTTTGTGTTCATTAGTCATGGAACCATGTTCTCTGAACGCTTCACCAATTATGTTGTCTTGCCCTTATCATCACAATTAGGTCACAATTTCAAAAATTCCGAAATAAAAGATCGATAAAATCAATTCCTAACTTACCAACCGAAAGCAGAGGAGCAAACTACCCTTGTATGTTGCCATCCGAGTTGGAAGACATTTTTTATCAACCAGTTCCAGCCTTCATTGACCAGAACCAACCAGATCAGTGTTGACGTGAATTTCAGCAGCGTGTGGAACATGACACTTGTGGCTGCGAACCGCTTTTTTTTCACGCAGGTACCCACAAAAATTGTTACTTCGGACCCCACAAATCCTCGAAATTGAATCGAAAACGCCAGTTCTCTTATCTCAGTGTGTCAGTTATTATTGAATTCTCTACATATCCTGTTAACCCCTACTTAAAGTATTAAGTGACAATTACTCAATCTGTTTGGTATAAATACATTGAAAAATGAATTCCAAAAGTAGAGCCAGTGTGACTGGTGATGATTTGAGACATGCCAATGCTGATGAAAGGGTAAGAGATATTTTTAGAATCATTCCTAATATTTTAAACTGATAATAATTGATAACAATCGATATTTTCGATAGGAAACATTGTTGGAACATGATAGCGACCCAGATGAGGATATGCTGTTCAGGTAAGACTCTTGAGAACTACCTCAGTACAAATATTAGAATAAAATTATGCTCAAATTGACAGTCGTAGCAGCACATCGTCCCTGGATGACGTCAGAGTGCACAGAAAAATAGACAGGTACTTGGAACAATCTATGAATAAGACAATAACGGGAGAGTATGGTGAAATGGACACTTTTCCCTTTTTTGAAATCAACTTTTTGAAAATAAAGTTGAAAAGAAATTATTTTCTGATAGAACGGAAACTGATAGAATAGAATTATTTTCTGATGATACCTATTTAATTTTTGGACATTTTCCGTTGAAAGAATAACCTTGACGAAGGAAAGATGAAAATCTTCAATCGAGGTGAGGGAAGGCGGTGCAATGTGGAATTTTCAACTTGTTTTCGGTGATGGGAGATAATTGATCTATTTTTCGAATAGGTTTTTTTGACCGTTATAATGATTTTCTAAATTCAGGTGACAACAGGTTGGCCTAAGCGGTCTTCAGCAATTTTATATACGTAGAAATGAAGTTGAAATAGAAGAATTCTTTGCGATGGCCCAACGTTTCGTCTTCTATAAAGAACTCATCGAGGGCTTCTTTATTAATCCAATATTCTAAATCACTACAAATAAAATAAATTAGATCAATTAAATACGAAAGAAATCTATATTTCTAACTACTAACATGTAAAAATGTTGATACATACAAATTACATTGGAGCACATCGTTGTATAAAAATACAAGTTGGGTCATCACAAAGAATTCTTTAATTTCAACTTCATTTCTACGTATATAAAATTGCTGAAGACCGCTTTGGCCAACCTGTCGTCATCTGAATTGGGGAAATGATTCAGCTACATTCAATCCAGAGACACCAAAAATTTTGATCCGAAATACGTATTGGAATCTCAAAAACCTATAAAATTGTTGTTTTATATGGGAGAATTTTTTTATATTAAGGGGAGACTCCGGTTAGATTCTCTATTTTATAGTCCGTTAGCCGTATAGAATCCTACAAATGTATAATTGTAAAAACAAAATGTTTCAAAAAATAGGCAAAAGAACAATTCGAACCAATTTTTTGTGTTAAGGTAACTAAATCTAGTCTAAAAAGCCTGAATATACGATTTTTAGATGGTGTATGTAGTCTTCTTATTTTTTTATCAAATTTTTTACAAGGGATCTATCTAATTTCATGAATTTTTTTCATGAATATAGACTTTAATAAACTCTATTCATTGACACCAGTTGAAATTCAATTTTTCACAAAGANTGATAGAATAGAATTATTTTCTGATGATACCTATTTAATTTTTGGACATTTTCCGTTGAAAGAATAACCTTGACGAAGGAAAGATGAAAATCTTCAATCGAGGTGAGGGAAGGCGGTGCAATGTGGAATTTTCAACTTGTTTTCGGTGATGGGAGATAATTGATCTATTTTTCGAATAGGTTTTTTTGACCGTTATAATGATTTTCTAAATTCAGGTGACAACAGGTTGGCCTAAGCGGTCTTCAGCAATTTTATATACGTAGAAATGAAGTTGAAATAGAAGAATTCTTTGCGATGGCCCAACGTTTCGTCTTCTATAAAGAACTCATCGAGGGCTTCTTTATTAATCCAATATTCTAAATCACTACAAATAAAATAAATTAGATCAATTAAATACGAAAGAAATCTATATTTCTAACTACTAACATGTAAAAATGTTGATACATACAAATTACATTGGAGCACATCGTTGTATAAAAATACAAGTTGGGTCATCACAAAGAATTCTTTAATTTCAACTTCATTTCTACGTATATAAAATTGCTGAAGACCGCTTTGGCCAACCTGTCGTCATCTGAATTGGGGAAATGATTCAGCTACATTCAATCCAGAGACACCAAAAATTTTGATCCGAAATACGTATTGGAATCTCAAAAACCTATAAAATTGTTGTTTTATATGGGAGAATTTTTTTATATTAAGGGGAGACTCCGGTTAGATTCTCTATTTTATAGTCCGTTAGCCGTATAGAATCCTACAAATGTATAATTGTAAAAACAAAATGTTTCAAAAAATAGGCAAAAGAACAATTCGAACCAATTTTTTGTGTTAAGGTAACTAAATCTAGTCTAAAAAGCCTGAATATACGATTTTTAGATGGTGTATGTAGTCTTCTTATTTTTTTATCAAATTTTTTACAAGGGATCTATCTAATTTCATGAATTTTTTTCATGAATATAGACTTTAATAAACTCTATTCATTGACACCAGTTGAAATTCAATTTTTCACAAAGATTTCCCACACTGCACAGAGACATTTATTACGGAAAAGGCTCTTTGAAAAAAGTTGCAATATTTTGGAGAATTTTTTAATCACACTTTTATCACATAAAAATGGCAGATGACTATATTCCACTGTTTTGAAAATTGAGATACCTAGCTGTCACTTCCCATGAGGAGTTAGTGTTTTGTTATCCACCATGGGAAATGACAGCTAATAGATAATTTGCCACAGCGAATCAGATATTTGTAATTTCCACTTTTTTCAACTCATTCTGAACCTCAACTAAAAACGCTCTTTGAAAAAGTTCAGAATTTTTTCTATTTTTTTTATCATTCTATCATAATTTTTGGGAATTTCTACATGATGTACCACTCAATTGACAATTTTGGATTACGAAGCATAAAAAAGTTCCAGATAAAATTCGAAAGATAGTACACCCGGGCCTTAATCTGCTAAACCATATCGATGATTGACGAAATTACCTTCATATAAAACCGCAAGCACTAAAAAAATTGATTTTTCTTTAACTGACACAATTATCTCTTGCTATTGATTAAAATTCCAATCCACCAACTCCAGTTGATCAATCAAAAATGAAATACTCAGGCCTTGGCTTCAAATATCTGCATTATTCGCCTGGATACCCCAGGTTTTTCCTTCGCAATTAAAATAAAGTTACTTTTTTTTACATTATACTCTATTTTTATTCTTATTTTTGGATTTTTATAACATGTGAATTATCAGTTTGAAAGTGAATCCTATTTATTTTATTTCGTTAAAGCTACTGCAACTAATTTCTCTTTATCATCAGAAATGTTGATGCCATATGTTTCTCCATCAGACTAAAAAGCTACAAAATTTTCCTCGAACATGAATTAATTAGATTTTAGGAAAATGGATAAACATCCTTAAGATCTGAAGCCTCCGTGATCCTCAGATTTTCATCGAATATTTATGCTAAATTCTTACAATTAGTAACATCCAGTTTATTCGCCTACAAAAAAAAGTACTGACTCTGATGTTTTAGCTTCTGTAGTTTTTTATAGAAATAAAAAGACACATTCATTACGGCTATGAATATTCAATTCTGTTCACAACTTTTGCCATCGTGTCAGGAATTGTAGAAGAATTGTGATGCTTTCTCAAAAATTTGACATGAAGATTTAGTGTTCTATGACAAATGCAGAACTATTTGTCGAGAGTTTCTAAAGAATTCTTAGAATCCTTGATCAAAAAATTTAAACAGGAATTTTGAACCGTACATTTGAATCGTTATAAACTTTCAGTTATTTAATTACTCGGCAACTGTTGATAATTTCCAGTAGGAATTGAAAGATTTCAACCCTTGGTTTGAATGTCAATTGTCCACTATTCAGTGAACAATTCGCATAGAAATCTCCAAGAGTTTTGAAAAAATGATTCAATTTCATTGATAGTTCAATGATTTATTGACATCTGAAGGGAAGTCAAAAGTGTACATTTTCCATCACTATTCCTTGAATAGATTATTAAGGATCCGGTGGAGCGCAACAGGTCTATTCGATAATATCTCCTAAACAAATAATCAAGATGTAATTATCTGGCCCTTATTTAGAAGTATGGAAAAAAGCATTAAAGATATTATTACGGGGTGCCAAAAATTCACAGAAATTCTTAGATAATGTGTTATTCAACCGTAATATCTACAAGGCAAAAGTTGTAATTCTAGTCTATTCTAGATCGCAAGGCCGAATTATAACTTAATGCAAAGAAAATTCCGTGATAAATTCAGGTTTGAAGATTTAATATTTTGAATTCATCCACGCAATTTCAAATGGCTGATGTGAACTGTTTACGAGTAGGGCTGCCCACGAGACTCAAACAAGACTTCACCTTGGAGGGATCGTCCTGGTCTTGGTGATCACGGAAACTTTCGGTATCATCCCATTCTCAAAAGAGGCAGTATCGGCTCTTCTCGTGATGACTTACAGTCAATTTATCTCATCTCGGTTTCAAATTTCTCGTGCTTCTTCAATTTAAAGTCTTGGGTTCAGTCTCGGTAGTCTCGTCTTGGTCTTTTACACATAAAAAACGCGAAAAACATTAGATTTTTTCACATCAGACGCGAAAAAATGTGAATCCGTCATTTCATTAGAATTAACATGCAATCCTAATGAATATCGGAATGAAAAGATCCATTTCACTCCGCTCTCTATTTTACTATTTGAATTAGAATTAGGCATTTAGTTTTTTTTTTCCAGCGTTAAAATACAAATTCGCGATGTAACAGATGTAATGCGCGATAATGTACAAAAAGTATTGGAGCGTGGAGAGAGATTGGAAGATTTACAAATGGCCAGTGACAGATTAAATATCGCTGGTAATGAATTTCGTGATGCAGCACGAAGAGCACAACGTAGAGCTTGGATGCAGAATGTCCGGTCCAGAATGATCATCATTGCTGTTACAGTAACGGTTATATTGTGTATTATTGGTAAGAATATTTTCCAAACTATTCTATCATCATCGTTTTATTAATTCCGATGTTTTTTCGGCGTAGCGAAAACATATTTGAAATTGATATGGTTAGAATGAGCAAAAAAAATGTCTATGATTTTCAGTTTTGGATGTCGCGGTACTTTATCTGGTTTTCAAATAACCGTCGTCCCTCCATGGCCTAGAGCCATGAAGGAAATTAAGGTATTTGAGTCTCAATTTAACTTATACTTCGTATTTGAAGTCAAATCGTATTTCAATTTGTCCGTAATCTTTTTTTTTGTCGAGTGAAATTTGTGGTTGTCGGTGCGATGCTCAAATATCTCAATTCTTGTATTATCGAGACACGTTGGGTACTTTAAAATTGATGAATTTATTTTCTTTCAGTGCCTATGATCATAAAGTACTCCTGAGCGGTGGATCCGCGGGAGTATCAAGCAGACTTGGTAAAAAATATCCAGCTTCTAATTTGACGAAAAGTTAATACTTTTGGGAAGAACCTATTTTTTAAGTATTTATATGTCTTTATATACGTGTATATTTTCTATTATTCATTAAAGATTAGTTTTTCTAAAGTGATTATCTTGGGCGTTGTCACGATTCTGGGTTTTTTGATTTTATATTTAGGTGGTAGATCCGTTCCTCGAGGAGTGTAAAGCACTCTACTCAGTGAGTGTGGAATATTTGAAATAAGTTATAAAATACAGGTTTAGGTCATAAAGTCTTATATTTCGTTAAATATTGGGAAAATAGTCACTCAAGTTTTTATTATTCAGAATTCCACAAATAATAAGTTACATAATAAGTCACAATTGAACATTTCTTGAACTTACAATTCTTTATAACTATTGATAATTTATTTTCTCTTGAACTTATAATTCTTCACTTAGATCTATGATTAAGACAATAAACGGAGTGGACGGCGAAAAATCCACGAATAAAATATTTAAACGTTCAATAAACTAAATGACGGTTAGGGATTAACTGGAGAAAGTCAAATAATGAGTGGAACTGTAGAAAAGTGTACTCAAATATTTCGTTACAAATATCCTTTTTATGACTGTCAACTTTTCTCGGACTTATCCGATGAAAATGACGAGTGACAAAAAATATCGCTTTGGGAAAATTTCAATAAATGCATGTACCTCATGAATGCTACGATCTTTCTCAGAATTCAAGTAACATGAAAATCCCAAAAAATTAAATATATCTCAAGCATATTGATATTATGTTCTACTCTCCGACTATTCCATCTTCAAAATTTTCACGACAATCTGGGGAACACGGCGGAGAGCCTAGGGGCCCCAATCGTCGCTAGTTGCTTACGTAACAGCGTAAAGACTATAACTGTTTAAACTTCTTATCACAGATTAAGAAGGTCAGCTGACACTAGCGGTTACTGATAATTTTACAATGTTCAGACCCAAAGTACAATGTGTCGATCGATACATTTTGTAAATTTCCATCTTTGTTCTAAGTGAGTTTCTCTTCAAAAGAGAAATAGAAAAGGAATGCATCAGAAAAAAGTCGAAAAGCTTATACTAGGCAAATTCTACGGGAAAATCTTCATAGAATAAATTTGATAGAAAAATCGAAATCTATTACTTTTTGCTTTCAAATGGAAGCATTGTAATCGTCTAATTTTCCCATTGTCTAATTTTGATTGGAGTTGGTGTAGAATGGTCTGAAGTACTCGTAAAAATACGAAGTTTGGCGACCATGTCCATCGTCACCTTCCCGGTAGTCAATTTTTATAGAATCGAGTAATTATCTGGCTAAAGTCATCCCAAAACTGAAATTCAGATCAGGTCAGATTATAAGTCTTAAGGAGGACTAATTCTGTATAAAATTTCAATCCGATCGGTCCATTGGTTTTTAGAAAAAGCGATTCGTTTTTAAATCATCTTTCTCGAATGTCTTGAAAATTAGTCGATCGATGTCGATTTTTTTCTTGAATATAATAAATCTGTTGCCGATTCTTTGACCGCGATTTCCACAAAAACAACTGAATGGATATTAATGGTATTTTCACTATTGCATAGTTTAGGGTCCCCAATCGGCTTTAGGCTATAAGCTATTGCGCTCGTTTGTAGAATTGAAAATATTCCCATCGAAATTTAAATGAGCGTTCAATCGATTTTTGAACGTCAAACAGAAATTGATTGAGAGTCATAGCCAAAATCACATCGGATTCCTATCTATAATCGTTTGTAATTGATTGTAATATTTGAATATTTCCATTCCAATTGAAAACAAGTACCGAATTATTTTTATGAAATGGTATCAAGCAACCAATTGACATCAAGAAAAAAAAATCGGATAAAAAAATTCATTTGTAGTTGTTTGTAGTGGCGAAGAAAATGGAAAAAAAACAACGAATGAATAAAGCAAGGATGAATATCAAATTTATTAGTTAAGAGAAGGCTAATTTCATCGTATTTCTCGTAGCATATGATAATATAATATTTTTTTGTGAAATTTCTTGACACTGCAAAGAACTACAAACAAAGTCCATCGATTTCTATCTGATCTTTGCAGAGCTTTTAACGCAAATTTATGGCAAATCATAATTTTGAAGAATCAATCAAGTGCTCATTTTTCATCGGAGTGAAGGAATTAAAATACTGCAATCAACTACAAACTATTCCAAATGGGAATTCACTATAATTAGAGCGGTCACTATCAATTGATTCCAAAAATCATCAAAAAATGATCGCAAATGTAGGATTCCGCTACCTACTAGACAACAGAAAGATTGCATGCCGCCATAAAACCGATGCGTAATCAGTTTAATAGTATCTATAATAGTATCTATATCACAAGTATCCAATCCATTTTTCGTTCCATGCCACTATATTTTCCCCGAATCCTTCACTGATCGATTGAAGATTTATTTCTTGCTTCATTTTCGTTCAATTTTTTCGTACTGCAGAACACTACAAACGTATTCTACCGATCATCAATCTTTTTTGGTATTTCAACGCACAATGATTGTTGAAATAAGTTTTTTTCATCAATTACATGCTTACCATCAACTACAAATGATTGTCGACGAGGATCCGACCTTATTTAAACTATGATTGGGATTAATTCCAAATGGAATTCTACAATCATTTATGAACAATTTTACATAAGTCTGATATCATTCGACCTGTCAGTAAAAATTGATTCCTATCAGTGATCCGAAATTTTTTGTAAAAGTTGGATTCCCCTAGTATCAGAAAATAGAAAATCAGCACTACAAATCATTACAAAACTAATTCCAATAAGCGACTAATATCCTTCTCATCCTACGATAATAGTTCTTTAAATATATTTGATTAATCAATTCATCTTTGATTGATTGCTTTGATTGATTTTTTTTCAATTTTCTTTTAAGTATCAGGTCTTTTTTAGTTCCTTGGTGTAGATTGATTGCTCGATTACATTTCATAAAATCAATTCCGTACTTGTTTTCAATTGGAATGGAAATATTCAAGTACTGCAATCAACTATAAACGATCGCAGATAAGAATCCAAGTCATTGAAGCTGTAACTGTAAAATATTTCCGGTCTTTTAAAAATGGATTGGACGCTTATTTATCAACTACAAATAAAAAAAATCAAACTACAATCACGTATTTTGTACAAACCGTCAAAGTCGGGTGCCAACTCCACACAGCTCCATCAATGTATTGATTGCGAAAAGACCATTGAAACATCACTCGGTGACATGCTGGCTATCATATGTTCGCTGTCATCTGCCTGTTTTCTCATAAAACATTTCCTATTAAACATTTTCGTTCATGAAAATACGCAAATCGTGCGCACCATTTTCAAACCTTCCAATAGACTTATTTCGCAATATTCAACTATAATACCCCGACCCGAGTGGAAATTGCTTCAGGCCCACCTGAAGCACGATCAGAACTTGATCAGGTTTTTGTAAGGTTCGACTGATTCGGTGATTCCTGATGAGAACCTGACCAATTTCTGATCCAGCAGATCGGATCCGAAAAACTACAGGCGGGTTCAGATCAAGTTCTGATCAGGTAGACATGATCAGATGATGCCTGATGAGAACTTGACCAAGTTCTGATCCAGCAGATCGGATTCGAAAAACTGCAGGCGGGTTCAGATCAAGTTCTGATCAGGTAGACATGATCAGATGATGACTGATGAGAACCTGACCAAGTTTTGATCTGGTAGATCGGATCCGAAAAACTGCAGGATGATTCAGATCAAGTTCTGATCAGGTAGACATGATCAGATGATGACTGATGAGAACCTGACCAAGTTTTGATCTGGTAGATCGGATCCGAAAAACTGCAGGATGATTCAGATCAAGTTCTGATCAGGTAGGCACGATCTCACCCTGAGGTCGGCTATCCGACCCCAATTTTATCAAATTCGGATTTGATGTCCTTGATCGGCATTTGAAAGGGATCAATTGAAGAGAAACTGATCAGATTCAGATCCGCTCCACCTGACATTAATGTTAATAAGTTTTTCGGATAATTTAATTAACTATTATTATACTAATCACATGAAGTTTTATCAACCATTACCAATAATTATTTTCAATCTTTAAAAAGGATCATTATACTATAATTAAAATAAATTAAATTGAATTAATTAAATTAAATTAATCAATTCAATTAATAGCCAGCCCTTCTCAAATGTACAGAAGGGAGGGATGATGATGCCGTAAATACGTATTAGAGGAGTATCAAACTTACACGCAAATGATCTTGAGAAAAAAAAATCACCAAATGTCTATTTATTTACTAGTGTTATTGTTATTATCATTATTATTATTCATTAATGAAAAAAAAATGAAAATTTAATTGAACATATTTTATCTCTGAGAATACACACGCACATCCGCGAGATCAGGAATAATCGTAAATTCAACGAATACCCCGATACAAATCATATAGGCAATGTACAGTTTACTCAATAATAATAGCACGATAGTAGTCCATACGCAATACCTCCTTCCCGTGGTTACTAGGAGGTCGATGGAATTTTATCATTGGATTTTATGTTTTGGGGGGTGAGGAATCCGAATATGTTGTTTATTTTGTCCTCCCGTCGCGCAATCTTTTGTTATAAACAAATTAGTCCCCATTTTTGGTGAATAAATGTTCTTCCGGGAAAATAAAGAGAGATACACAAAAATTATTCCAACTAAAGTTATTCCTCTTTCTTTCACCAATAAAATTATTTTTGACTCGTCGAAATCGGTCCAATACTTCCCGAGATACAGGCTAGANAATCAACAGATTACAGATATTATTCCTTTCTGCAGTAATCTAACGCAATACAGAATGTACAAACCAACAATATTCACTCAGATACTCTGCTCCGCGCCCATACTCACCCGTCGTCCGCGCAGTCTATCCACCCGCGCTCACTCTTTAGCCTGTATCTCAGGAAGTATTGGATCGATTTCGACGAGTCAAAAATAATTTTATTGGTGAAATAAAGAGGAATAACTTTTGTTTGAAAAATTTTTCTGTATCTCTTTTTGTTTTGCCAGAAGAACATTTATTCACTAAAAATGGGGACTAATTTGTTTATAACCAATGATTGCGCGA